TAGCGTATTTTAATTCTGGGTTCCCTCCCTACCGCTCATTTCATGTTATTTCAACCTGCACATTGCAATTAGTCAGAATTACAGACAGTAGTCATTAGACGATTACATGTTTTGTGTGCATGTCACTCATTTTTTACATCCTCCAAATACTAGAAAAAGTGACTGCTCTTCATGCAGGCATAGTAAGGATGAATTCATGTTCCTGACAAATTTGCTTCAGTCGCTGCCTCTCTTTGACCACGCCGTCTCTGTCGACTGCTGCAGCTATCATACAGTTGCAGTCCGACCTCCCCCCTTACTCTTTTCAAACACACACACACTCACACGCCAGCCCTGCATGCCCAGCTCCTTGCGGCTGCAAATTGCTTTAGCATGGCACTGCTGCTCAAGCTAACACAAGCTAACTCCATCAGCAAAATACAGAGGTAACACTGGTGGATCAAACATGGCTGCCCTTGTGCTACACCTGCCTCTGTTGCCTCCTTTACATATGCGTATACATTTGTCTCCACTGTCTTTAACTCTGTCTTGATAAGCCAATCTTTAGTTTTACTTTTGGCTCCTCTGTTTTCTCTAACGTAACACGGAGATCTGCAACAGAGACATAGCATGGAGCAAGCCACAGTATCTCCAAGATTAATTTCTCACCTTCACCATTGCTTTCTCTCTTCTGTCAAATCTGCCTGAAGCAATGCGCTGTATATCACAGATGAGCAGCACAAATGCAATTATAAAGACAGCTCGGAGTCTTTTATATGAATAAAGAGAGGGAATAATCTTTTGACACGTGGGCTGCTCATGCCTTACACATCTTGTGGAGGCAAATGTACAGTATGAGGTTCATTAATAATCATTATCCGCGGGTTACATCATTCAGCTTGTTAGGCACACCCATCACCTTAGCTGAGTCATTCTCAGAGATACACCGTGCCACTGACTGTCTTGTGATATTTTCAGGTGTCTGTCTTTTTTTTCACCACCTGAGAGCGATGCAAATATGTAGATTCTGTTTGCACGAAGGACGAATCATATCCAGCTGGTTAAGTGAGCATAGATGAAGAGTGCATGGCCGATTACAGGCACTCTATGTAAAATAAAATCAGATTCTCAGTGTGAAAAATGTGAAAACGCATCTCTGTGGTTGTTGAAATATCATTGCATTACACCTCTGATGCAGACCATGATCTGCTGTGTGACAGGGTGAAGGCCTGAGAACCTATATGCATATCATGTATGAATGCATCTCTAATGCCAGTGGGAAAAAAACCCAGCATCTCCATGGCTTTCAGACATGCAAAGGGGGCTGAATAGACTAATGAACAGTCAGGTGGTACTCCAGGGTCTGGACTACTACCCCCCATCACACACATATCAAACACACATACACTTGCACACACATTTAAACTCAGCGGCTCGCCCGACCCCGGTGATCTGCACGACAGTCTAATGTCTCAGGCATCTGCTCATGTCTAGTCTGGAGGGTCTTTCCCACCCTACCCCCCCAGCCCCAGCACCAGCTCCCACAATGGTGGGAAAGCAGACCTTTACGGAAGGCGGAGGGGAGGCGGGTGGGTGGTTGTGGGGACTAAACAGCTATTGAGGGGGGAAAGCGAGAGAGAGCGGGGCTGAATGATAATGTGAAAACGCACGGCACTGTTCATTAACACACAAGCACTGCAGCTGCACATGTTGGCCCTGGACACACATGCTCACGTGTCTCTTTTTTCTGGTTCAGGTTGCTGCCAGAGCCACCGGGGCTACAGAGCCGCTCTACGCCATGATCTGTGTGTGCTTGGACTTACAGGGATGGAAGTGGTAAAGATTTTGAGCTTTGATTTTTAACGGTCGCTGTCTGCCCCAGTCAGATTTTGGAAGAATGTGACATTGTCTGATATTTTTAGTCTGTGTGTGTCAAATAAAGTTCTTCCATGTGTGCAGTTTTGTAGCAGCAGAGCTTTAGTGCATACATACGGAGAGTTGTAACCAATATCAAGTGTTTGGGACTAAATGCTTAAGAAGATGTTAGATCCAACATGCGACCAGTCAAAAAAACATCATTATATATATATATATATATATATATATTCATGAGCAAAAACTGTGAATATTCAGTGCTGACATTATTACAAGTAACGAACCGCTTCATAAGCCAAAATATCTTTGTTCATATAGTAAATTAAATCTAAGAGTGTAATGGTTCTACTAAAAACAATAATGTGATTTTCCCAAATAGGAAAATATCACCCCCTCCTCAACAAAATTAACCTGAGGGCTTCAGCACATTAAGATACAGTGCTAAATACCATCATGTGAATTTTGGTAACAAAGGCAGTTTTGCATGAAATAATCTACGAGGCTTGTCGGGTTGAAACACGGCGTACACACACTGCCTGGTGTGCATCAGGGAGTAAAGAAGCACCATGACAAGAGAGGATGGCAGGTTTCCTTCAACCGGTGCCAGCTCATTAATTTTGTTTGCCCCCCCCC